CCAAAACCCAAACACACATCAGTAACAAAGAACAAGAAAAGACTAGAAGTAGAAACCCTGAATAGATATCACATACTAGAAGAAATACAACAGAATATGACCATCACATCCGAAAAGTTGTTCCCTCTGCTTTTACCCCTTCGAATGAAATGATCTTCAGCTCAAGCAGTGATCCAGAAATTTGAAACCTGAAGGAGACTTAGAAAATCCTTGAGTTAGGTTGTAAAGAATTGAGAACTTGTGAAATATTCTTGAGACCTCTGGAAGCGATGCCCAAGGCAGGTGATTGAATGAATGCGGGAACAGCTAGAGAAATGTTCAAGGATTCAACTTTATTGTACTATGAAAACTATCTTATGTAAAAAACAATGATGAAAAGACTACTGTGCTTGATTTTGTATCGAACAAGTCATCTGGTCTGAGGTTAACATTGTCTCATCAATAGAGAACAAATATTTGGTATTGGTAATGATAAAGGTTTCAATCAAAGATTTGAAGATTTTGACAGTAAGAACGAGAAACAAGCACAAGATAAAGAGAACCTAATTCCATATTTACCAGCATTGCAAGGACTATGTTCTAAATCTTATAATGTAAAGAAAGCAGCCACTAGAAACACTAAGCAATGAATTTGATGATGAGTTCATCCTGGCGATGTAGAAACTTGCATTAAACAGTAACACTAGTCACTAGATAGTTGAAGGAAACTACATTCTTCGTTTTGAATTATTGCATTAGCATACTGACCTACCCCTGAAGAAACATAATTTCATAAATTTTATAAAACCGTAACCTAAAAAACATTCGCAAACCCTAACCCTTGCCTCAACAAAAATGGATCAAAATTAAACACAACTTTCTCAATCCAAAAAGAAAGAAAAAAACACACAATTTTGTTTCCGCTGGCTTCATCATCCCGCACATACGAAGAAATTGGAAAATAAAGCGGAAAAGGTACTACGGCTGAAAATGAGACCTTAAACCTCGTAACTAAAGAAGCTGAGGGTTGACCCGACTGAAACTCAGATACATATCTAGTACTAACATAAACCTGAATTTCATAGAAGCCATAAAATAAAAATAAAAAAAGAGAAGATTTTGGAGGCTGAATTTCATAAGTGCCAACAGAAATGATAATTTCTAAATCACGAGGAAGTATTTAAGCAATCGGCTGATAAATTGGTTATCCTTTTGTAACCTAGCAATTTACAACCACAAAATAGGAAAATTATAGAAACTTGAATAGGAAAAGAGACTGACCAGAAGATTAATCCCTCGTAGCCAAATCCGAGCAAAACATTTCAGAGGGATTGATTGTATATGGTGGAGTAAATTCTATTCCCGCAAAAGATGTAGAGTCGCGCGTTTTATTTTGGGGAAAAGCTGAAAGAAATTATAATGGAAAGGGGGAACTTAGGAAAATTCAAAACTAATGAAACGTTACTATAAAATATCTTACTGAAATAACTTTTGCAATACAAGAACTTATTCAATGGCTGTGATAATTTCGTGCATTATATACATCGAAATTCTAATGTAGGAGTACTTTCAAAGTTTCAATACTGCCGAGATCGTTGCAAGAGGTCAAAATTCTATATGCAGCGGACAAAACCATTGCAACAAAATTATCTACTGCAACGGTTACATAAAGGTTTACATCCTACCTGTTGCGATAGGCCCAATTTCTTGTACTGTAATTTGAAACCGGATATAGCAAAACATAAAACCATGATCAGGTAGAATTTGATACGTAGTCTGTTCCAACGCAATATCTGTCATAAGGAAACATGATGAAAAGAGACACGTGGCTTTAATCTGAAAAATTATCAAATAAGCACAATTTTATAAAACTTGAAAAAAAAAAAAGGTTAGTCAAAAACTTCTTCACCCATTTTATCGACCAGACGGGCAAAATTGCCCCATTATATGCATATACTTAAGTGTTCCTTTCACTTATATGTAGTTGTGTGTTTGGTTTATAGATTAATTAATTATGCAAAAATTACAATGCATAAATTGTTTATGCATTGAATGATAACATATGAATTGTTATGTTGAGATTGCTTATTTTAAGAGCTTTTTTGTTTTTAAAGGATATTGAAGAGTTAACTAAAATAGCAGTCTGTCCAACTGTTTAAATTATAAATAACTGGCGAATGTATAATAAATATTTAATCCACATATAATATGTGTTTAACTATATATAATCAATGTATAATCTACGTATCCGAAGTAAACCGTGAATCCGGTCAACTATTTTTGTAAAGATCTCTTTAATATAGACTGTTACTC